AGAAGACAGAGAACTCGGGAAAATAAAGAGATTAGCCGAAGAGCCAGGAACGAATATGCACAGATAAGAAGGGAGGCTCAGCGACAATATGAAAATCAAGTCTGACCCGAAGCTGTTGTATAGCCACATCAGGAGGAAAACAACAGTCAAGGACCAGGCAATCAGACTGAGGAAGGGTGATGGGGAGTTCACAAGAAACTACCGAGAGGTATGTGAGGAGCTCAACACGAGATTTAAAGAAGTATTTACAGTGGAAACCAGTAGGACTCCAGGAAATCAGAACAGGGGGGTACACCAACAAGTGCTGGATGAGGTACACATAACCAAGGAGGAGGTGAAGAAGCTACTATGTGAACTTGACACCTCAAAGGCGGTAGGACCAGACAACATCTCTCCGTGGGTCCTTAGAGAGGGAGCAGAGATACTGTGTGTGCCATTAACAAAGATCTTCAACACATCCATTGAAACTGGGCAACTCCCTGAGGTATGAAAGATGGCAAATGTAGTCCCAATTTTTAAAAAGGGAGACAGACATGAGGCACTAAACTACAGACCTTTATCACTAACATGTAAGGTATGCAAAGTCATGGAGAAGATCATCAGGAGGAGAGTGGTGGAGCACCTTTCAGGGAAGTTTCAGGGAAGGAAAATCCTGTGTCACAAACCTACTGGAGTTTTATGACAAGGTGACAGAAGACGAGAGAGAGAGGGGTGGATCGACTGCATTTTTTTGGACTGCAAGAAGGCCTTCGACACAGTTCCTCACAAGAGGTTACTGCAAAAGCTAGAGGATCAGGCACACACAACAGGAAAGGCACTGCAATGGATAAGAGAATACCTGACAGGGAGGTAACAACGAGTCATGGTACGTGACGAGGTGTCAGAGTGGGCGCCTGTGACAAGCGGGGTTCCATAGGGGTCAATCCTAGGACCTGTGCTGTTTTTGGTATATGTGAATGACATAACGGAAGGGATAGACTCAGAAGTGTCCTTGTTCGCAGATGATGTGAAGTTAATGCAACATCCCAGCAATTCCAGGAACAGCTGTTAAAAATTGACCACTGTCTGGAAAATCTTCCAGCTCCTGCACCCAACATCTTGCTCCTGGGGGATTTCAACTTAAAGCACCTAAAATGGAGGAATATAGCAAATAATATTGTTGCAGTAATAACACCAGGAGGCAGCTCTGATGAAAACTCACACTCACACGAGCTTTTAAATCTCTGCACAAAATTCAATTTAAACCAGCAAATAATAGAGCCTACTAGACTGGAGAATACACTAGACCTCATCTTCACTAACAATGATGATCTGATAAGAAATGTCACCATATCAAAAACAATATACTCGGTCGATGGATCTATAATTTCCTCACTAACAGAACACAGAGAGTAGTCGTCAACAGAGTAAAATCCGAGGCAGCTACGGTGAAAAGCTCTGTTCCACAAGGCACAGTACTCGCTCCCATCTTGTTCCTCATCCTCATATCCGACATAGACAAGGATGTCAGCCACAGCACCGTGTCTTCCTTTGCAGATGACACCCGAATCTGCATGACAGTGTCTTCCATTGCAGACACTGCAAGGCTCCAGGCGGACATCAACCAAATCTTTCAGTGGGCTGCAGAAAACAATATGAAGTTCAACGATGAGAAATTTCAATTACTCAGATTTGGTAAACACGAGGAAATTAAATCTTCATCAGAGTATAAAACAAATTCTGGCCACAAAATAGAGCGAAACACCAACGTCAAAGACCTGGGAGTGATCATGTCGGAGGATCTCACCTTCAAGGACCATAACATTGTATCAATCGCATCTGCTAGAAAAATGACAGGATGGATAATGAGAACCTTCAAAACTAGGGAGGCCAAGCCCATGATGACACTCTTCAGGTCACTTGTTCTATCTAGGCTGGAATATTGCTGCACACTAAGAGCACTTTTCAAGGCAGGTGAAATTGCTGACCTAGAAAATGTACAGAGAACCTTCACGGCGCGCATAACGGAGATAAAACACCTCAGTTACTGGGAGCGCTTGAGGTTCCTAAACCTGTATTCCCTGGAACGCAGGCGGGAGAGATACATGATTATATACACCTGGAAAATCCTAGAGGGACTAGTACCGAACTTGCACACGAAAATCACTCACTACGAAAGCAAAAGACTTGGCAGACGATGCAACCTCCCCCAATGAAAAGCAGGGGTGTCACTAGCACGTTAAGAGACCATACAATAAGTGTCAGGGGCCCGAGACTGTTCAACTGCCTCCCAGCATACATAAGGGGGATTACCAACAGACCCCTGGCAGTCTTCAAGCTGGCACTGGACAAGCACCTAAAGTCGGTTCCTGACCAGCCGGGCTGTGGCTCGTACGTTGGTTTGCGTGCAGCCAGCAGCAACAGCCTGCTTGATCAGGCTCTGATCCACCAGGAGGCCTGGTCACAGACCGGGCCGCGGGGGCGTTGACCCCCGGAACTCTCTCCAGGTAAACTCCAGGTAAACGCCCCACACACACCATAACACCGAGCATGTCTCCGGAGGCACACATCAACCAGATAACTGCTGCAGCATATGGGCGCCTGGCAAACCTGAGAATGGTGTTCCGATACCTTAGTAAGGAATCGTTCAAGACACTGTACACTGTGTACATCAGGCCCATACTGGAGTATGCAGCACCAGTTTGAATCCTACACCTGGTCAAGCACGTCAAGAAATTAGAGAAAGTGCGAAGATTTGCAACAAGGTTAGTTCCGGAGCTCAGGGGTATGTCCTACGAAGAAAGGTTGAGGGAAATCGGACTGACGACGCTGGAGGACAGGAGGGTCAAGGGAGACATGATAACAGCATACAAAATACTGCTTGGAATAGATAAGGTGGACAGAGACAGGTTGTTCTAGAGAGGGGGCACAGAAACAAGGGGTCACAATTGGAAGCTGAACACTCAGACGAGTCACAGGGATGTTAGGAATTATTTCTTCAGTCATAGAGTCGTCAGGAAGTGGAATAGCCTAGCAAGTGATGTAGTGGAGGCAGGAACCATACATAGCTTTAAGACGAGGTATGACAAAGCTCAGGAAGCAGAGAGAGAGAGGACCTAGTGGCGATCAGTGAAGAGGCGGGGCCAGGAGCTGAGTCTCGACCCCTGCAACCACAATTAGGTGAGTACGCATATACAAAAAGGCCTACTGTCTAATCGACATGTACCTAGGACAATATGGTAACACATTAACTAACTGGCAAACGAACTACAGACTTGGGGTGAGGTAGGAACGGAAAAGGCTACAAATCTCAGTCAAGAAGGACCTTCAGGTAAGTATCATACCGAGCACATCCCCTGAGGTGCACATCAACCAAATAACTGCTGCAGTTTATGGACTTTTTGACATCTAGGTAAGTAGTCATTCACGACTCTGTACACCGTGTACGGGAGTATGCAACGCCAAGAAATTGGAGATAGTGCAGAGGTTTACAACAAAACTAGTCACGGAGCTAAGGTTAATGGAATTCAGCCTGATGACACTGGAAGACATTACTCGGGGTGATACGGGGTGAATAAGAACAGAATGTTTGAGAGATGAAAAACGTGAACACGAGGGCACAGCTGGAAATTAAAAACTCAGGATAGTCATAGATGTCATGAAGTATTTCTTCAATTTTAGAGTAATCAGGAAGTGGAACGGCCTGGAAAATGTAGTAGAGGTAGACTTCTTATATAGCTTTAAGAACAGGTATGATAATAAGGCTCTGGAAACCAGGAGTGAACCTAATAGTGTAGACAGTATGCCTACCCCATATCTGTTTCCCATAACTCCCGTTAGGGAAGCTGTCTTCATAGACTTGTGCTGCCATCTGTTGAGACTCAGGCATACAAAGATCTTGCTGGACAACAGCTTAGACTGTCCTCATCCACCTTGCAGTCAGACTACAAGCCCTAGTGCCAGGTCCCGCCAGGCTGGGTCTTGGCCCTAGGGCAGCCTAGACACACTACCTGTAAAGAACCCAAGTAAACCTAAGGCACGCCTGCAACCACATATAGATAAGTACCCACATCTACACATATAAGCACATGAAGGCATATGCATACATCCATCCGTATCAATACACACATTAGGAGCTAGGAGCTGTAAATCGACTCCCTGCAATCACACAGGTGAGTACACACATGCACTCACACTATCACTGATTCTCTCACACTCGTTTCTCTCTCACACTCCGTGGAACGCAGGCGAGAAAGATACATAATAATATACACTTGGAAATTCCTAGAGGGACTAGTGTCAAATGTGCACACGAAAATCACTCCCTACTTTCGTAGGGAAATGCAACATCCCCCCAATGAAAAGTAGGGGAGCCATGAGTACGCTGAGAGACAACACAATAAGTATCAGGGGTTCAAGACTGTTCAACTGCCTCCCAACATACATAAGAGGGATTACCAATAGACCCCTGGCTGTCTTCAAGAAGGCGCTGGACAGACACCTAAAACTCAGTACCAAACCAGCCGGGCTGTGGCTCGTACGTCGGTTTACGTGTGGTCAGCAATAACAGCCTTGCTGATCAGGCCTTGATCCACCACGAGGCCTGGTTGCGGACCGGGCCGGGAAAGCCTTGACCCCCGAAACTCCTTCCAGTTATACTCCACGTCACCAGTAAAAATATGTCTTTTTCTCCTCTCTGCTCTATTTGCTGATAATGATGCCCAGAGGCCAAAATATTAAATCCCACTTCATTCCCTGACTTTTTTTTTCCCCCATTGTGTTATAATAAATTACGGAACCATTTTCAGTGAAAATGTGGTATTAGAATTTAAAATTTAACTAATACTGATCATATGATCCGTTCACTTGGGCCATGATGGTTAAAATATGATTTGAAAATGTCTGAAAGGTACCCCATACTGTGACGATAGCTGTTATTTTTTTATTAATCACCATTTTATGTGTCCTGGAAACCGTAATTCTGGGTGTTGGTATATAGATGTTAATATGGTGTTGTGCAGGTGCTGAGTGAGGTGCGTACAGTGGTAGAAGACAGTGACTACATGCCTACTGACCCTCCAGAACTGTGTGGTCGCCTGCTGCATACACTCTACCTACCCACATATGACTCCTCGCCGCATGCTGCACATTGTGCCAGCCAGTTAGCCATGGCAATTGGCAGGTGAATCATTCTTCCTTAACAACAACTATGTTTAGAAAGTGGATGCATTTGTGCTCTTTGATTTTTATACCTAAATTCCTCATTTTATTTATATTACTTTAAGGATATGTGGCTTGTCTTGCATATATATATATATGTATATATATATATATATATATATATATATATATATATATATATATATATATATATATATATATATATATATATATATATATATATATATTCGAACCAGTATTGTTTTAGCCCGCCTCATGGTGAACGAAAATTCACGATGATCTAACCCATGGGACCATACAATCCTACAAGAATCACGCACCCAGCAGAGCTAGGTGTTGTACCGTGATCCGAGAACATGTGATGGTGTGGGTGCTTCAAAGCTAATTTCATCCTCCTCCCCGTTTGGTATACTAGCCTCCACGAGCAGTATTTATAGTAATGTAACCACGAGCAAGTGGTATTTAATCAACAACAACACTGCAACTAGCCGAAGATTCGAATCCATGTTGTTTTAGCCCAGCTAGTCGCAGTGTTGTTATTGATTGAATTCCAATTATTTGTTGTGACAATACTATATATACTGCTCGTGGAGGCTAGTATACCAAACGGGGAGGAGGGTGAAATTAGCTCTGAAGCACCCACGCCATCGAATGTCCTCGGATCACAATACAACACCTTGCTCTGCTGGGTGCGTGATTCTTGTAGGATTGTATGATCCCGTGGGTTAGAGCTTCGTGAATTTTCGCTCACCATGAGGCGAGCTAAAACAACACGGGCTCGAATCCTTGGGTAGTCGCAGTATTGTTACTGTTAGTGATTTGGGACTTGATCTATCACCTCTAGAATGTGCTGATCCATCCTCCGAAGTTCCAGAGGGCGGCGGGTTTCTGACTGTGCTCTCTTTTCTCTGCTTCTTCTTGGAGCTATCCCTCCAGATATTTTTGTTTTTCAGAAAACAAAAAGAAACCTTATCATGAAGATGTCCATAAACTCCCTCCTCCTGTGCCCCCTTCCTTCCACACCATATCCTCACACGACCCTCTCATGTCAGCGGACATTGCTTTACGTTGTGTTCACTCCATTGTATCTTTGATGAAAGAAAACCTTTCTTTTACCCACTTGCTGTAACATCAACAGTCTATGATTAAACCAACAAATGGGCTTCTCTGGCTGTCCTCGCTCCATTTTCACTTGTGCGAGACTGTTCTCTCATAATTATACAACAGACAAAGATTCACCCATGGTCATCTCATGGTCACCTGACTACACTGTGCAAAGCCTGCCAAGTTGTAGAAACCGAAACATATCTTGATACAGTCCTTTGTTTCTCAGTAGCTGGGTCATGTGTTTCACACCGTTCTGTGCTTGTTCACCTTCTATCTTTTTTCTAAGAGAGGTGTCTTTTAATACTGATACTAAATGCTTGTCAGATCTTGCTTACACTACTATTATATGTTTATGTTCAGTCCTAAACCTGTGTATATCATTATGGGCTGTTTTGTCTTCAAATTGCTTAGTGTTTTATACACCTGTGCATTCTTGCGTGATCTAAAGTACCAGGTGTCTCTTACTTCCACAAACATTATTATCCACCATGCATTAACGAGCCGCTATTTTGGGTGGATGGGGGAGGCAGCAAGCACCTGACTGTTGCACTAGATGGTGGTGTAGCAGCTGTGATGGAGAGCTTCACTGCAGCCAGTGGTTCTTGGACTAGCAGTCAGGAACATAGTGGCATCAAACAAGAGCAAGAAACACTTAACCACCTCCATTCTCGCCTCCGTATGACCATGCTTTACCTTTTTGCTCAGGTAAGTCACGCTAATTTTACCTGTAACATTTTAGGTATAGCATGTATTCCTGTCTGCTGAAGAACGTTTTTCTAATTTTTGTCAAAACGACTTCTCAAATATTCAAGTATTGAGAACACCAACACTCATGGGACCCTCAGAACCTTCGGAGTCATTGAGAATTATAATTAAATTCATGGTGAAGTGCTGGACCTATGGAGATTACAGCATTTGAGGAATACCTGAAGAGGGTTTCGGGGGTCAACGCCCTCGCGGCCGTCGTTATCCGTCAGCTGTCTATTCCCAGTTTTCAGAGGTCCTACTTTTTCCTTCACCTTCGTCCTATACACTTGAAAGAACCACCTTTGGATTGGTCTTTGATTCATTAGCAGCTCTAATTTCATAGTCATGTTTAGCCTTTCTAATTATGTCTAATAATAATGATCCCAAATGGGTTACCAGGAGGCTAAAGCATCTATTAGGGGAGAAAAGGGGAATTTATAGGCGCATCAGAAGAGGAGAGATTAACCTTACTGACCAATATGTTCAGCTTAAAAGAGAAGTAAAAAAGAAGATTAGAAAGGCTAAACGTGACTATGAAATTAGAGTTGCTAATGAATCAAAGACTAATCCGAAGGGGTTCTTTCAAGTATATAGGACGAAGGTTAAGGAAAAAGTAGGACCTCTGAAAATTGGGAATGGACAGCTGACGGATAATGAACCGGAAATGTGTTCCATATTTAATGACTATTTTTTGTCAGTTTTTACACAGGAAGACATAAATGAGATTCCAGAAATTAACAATTATTCAGTTCCTGACCAATTCAAATTGACTAATATTACTGTCGCGAGGGACATGGTTATCAAACAGATAGACAAACTGAAGCAAAATAAGTCCCCGGGACCCGACGAGTTATTTTCCAGGGTACTTAAGGAATGCAAGATGGAACTTAGTCAGCCATTTACGAGTGTTTAATGCGTCCATCCTTACTGGTGTTGTGCCAGAGTTGTGGAAGATGGCTAATGTGGTTCCTATATTCAAATCAGGGGATAAGTCCATTCCTTCAAATTACCGTCCAATAAGCCTGACATCTATAGTGGGCAAGTTACTAGAATCAATTATAGCTGACATTATTAGAAGTCACCTTAAAGAGCATAACTTGATAAATGAATTTCAGCATGGGTTCACGAGAGGTCGTTCCTGCCTGCCAAATTTGCTGACGTTCTTCAATAGAACATTTGAGGCAGTAGACAGTGATAAAGAATATGATATTGTTTATTTGGATTTTAGTAAAGCATTCGATAGAGTACCTCACACGATACTCTTAAGAAAATTGGCAGCTCATGGTATAGTTCTAGCATGGATAGAGGCATGGCTTACCAATAGAAAGCAGAGTTTCCATTAATGGGGTCAAATCTAAATGGGTATTAGTCAATAGTGGCGTTCCACAAGGATCAGTTTTAGGCCCTCTCTTGTTCATAATTTACATTAATGACCTTGATGAAGGGATTACGAGTGACATGAGTAAGTTTGCTGATGATACACAGATAGGCCATATGATTCATTCTGAGGAGGATATCACTGAACTCCAGGAGGATTTGGACAAATTAATGTCTTGATCTGAAAAATGGCAGATGAAATTCAATGTGGATAAGTATAAGTTACTAGTCCTTGGTAATGAAAATAACCCTCGAAGCTATAAATTTGGTGAAGTAGAGCTTGATCATACAGAATGTGAAAAAGACTTGGGAGTCATGGTAAGCAGAAACCTAAAGCCAAAACAGCAGTGCCTAAGTGTGTGCAACAAGGCTAACAGATTACTTGGATTTATCTCAAGAAGTATAAGTAACAGAAGTCCAAAAGTTATTTTACAGCTCTATACGTCACTAGTGAGGCCTCATTTAGATTATGCCGCTCAATTTTGGTCTCCTTACTACAGGATGGATATAGACTCATTGGAGAACATACAGAGAAGAATTACTAAAATGATTTGCTGTGTAAGGAATCTCCCGTATGAAGATAGACTTAAAGCCTTAAATCTCCACTCTCTGGAGAGACGTAGAATGAGGGGAGATATCACTGGAGTGTATAAGTGGATGATGGGCATAAACAAAGGAGATATTAATGAAGTACTGAGGGTGTCGAACTAGGTAAGAACCAGAAATAAAAGAGGAGCTTAGGGTTGCTAAGCCGGATATACTGCGATTAAAAGAGGAGAACAAGAGGATTTGTAGTAATCCTGTTGTGAGTCTTCAGGTTAAGAGAGGAACCTAGTCAGTGGCTGCACAACATGGGACCAAGCTGAGAATCAAGAAGACTGTTGGAGAGGCAGAAACAACGAAGAACCAGAAGACTACTGTGGAAACCAACCCATTTACGGTGTTACCTGATGAATGTGGGTTGTCTACTGGGAACGTCACAACGAGCACCAAGGAAGCATTGGCTGATGTCAGTGAAACATCCCTAGAAACCCCAACGAAGACCATCGAGAACATCACGACGAATTCCACAAGTGAAGGTAAGAACATTGTTTTAGTTGGAGACATTCAGGTTAAGTTTATGGATAGGGCATTTTGTCTTAGGGACAGGAAGAGGAGGCAGAGGGTATGTTTTCTTGGAGCTGGGATGGGAGATATTGTTAGCCATCTGGACGACCTCATGAAAGATAATGGGAGCAATCCTATTATCTGCCTCAGTGCGGGAGGCAACGATGTTGGCAGATATAGGAGTGAGGACCTGATTAGCAGGTATAGGTCAGCAATAGAAATAATTAGGAAGAAGGGTGGGAACCTTGCCATATGTGGTATTTTGCCAAGGAGAGAAGTTGGAAACGAATGGTTGTCCAGGGCAATTGGTGTCAATTGCTGGCTGGACAAATACTGTAAGGAAAATGCAGTAACATTCATTGACAACTGGGACCTCTTCTATGGCAGAAATGACTTGTATACCAGGGATGGGGTTCACTTATCTAGATCTGGGGGGGGGACACTGGCAACTGCAGTGGAGGGAACTGTTAGGACTTTAAACCAGAAATAGTTAGTGGTATGAGTTTTGGCGGGAAAACAGTGAAGTCCCAGTGTAGTAATATTATGAGTTGTACAAGAATGGCATACAATATCGACAAGATGAAATTAAATTAAGACACATGTGCAACATCTGGGTATCTTTATTGTAGACGTTTCGCCATCCAGTGGCTTTATCAATACAGCACCATAGTCTTGGAGATTCTCCATGACAATGGTGCTCTTCGCACCAACTCCAAGGTTGAGGGACTGATTACCTCGTCTTCTGTATATAGTTCTACTGTCTTCAAGTTATGTCCTGGAATTTGTATTGATAAAGCCACTGGATGGCGAAACGTCTACAATAAAGATACCCAGATGTTGCACATGTGTCTTAATTTCATCAGTATTATGAGTTCTAGGGTAACTAGTAATAAGCAGAACGAGGTGGATATTGTAAAGCTAGTGGCACTAGGTGACAGACAGTAATAGGTTTAGTAGAAAAACAGAAATGAGCAGGAAGGGTAAAGAGAAAGGAGGGTCTTTCAATGTATATTATGCTAATAGCCGTAGTGTTGAGATTAGTTGCGTCACTCACACCTCACTCCGCCTGTATATAATGTCTTTCTACCTCTGTATGTTAGAAGTGATCAAGGTCCCAGGACCGTTTGCTTACGTGTCTTTCTAAGCCAACTTGTCGGTATTTATTACCAAGGTTTATACCAACCCCATTTATGGACAATCTCTGCTTCCTGTCTGTGAGCCATGACTCGATCCATTAGAGCACTTTTTCCCCAATGCCATGAGCTGCCACTTTCTTTAACAGTCTTTGGTGCGGTATTTTATCAAAAGCCTTATTAAAATCTAAATAAACAATATCAAATTATTTATCGTGAGAGGGGTTGGATTTGAGTGTGACTTGCATATGAGAGTGGATAGAGTTATCAGAGCTTATTTCTTGATTGGCATTGAAAATTGGGTTGGCCAAATGTTTTGTTAGTGGGATGGATTGTAAAGGACTTGGCTAGTGTGGGCCAACAGGCCTGCTGCAGTGTTCCTCCTTTCTTATGTTCTCAACAGCCTCAAAAGCTTTACTGAAGAAAGTTAATAAATTAGACAAGAACGGCCTCTCGTGAATCCATGCTGAGTATCATTAATCAGATTATGCTTATCCAGATGGCTTCTTATAATCTCATCTATAACTGACTAGCAATTTGCCTACAGTTGAGGTCAGGCTTATCGGGCGGTAATTTGACGGTAACAACTTGTCTCCTACTTTAAAGTAGGAGACAAATTGTTAGGAATTACATTAGCCATCTTCCACATTTCAGACACTACTCCTGTTTGAAGAGATAAATTAAAAATATTAGTTAATGGTTCACAGAGTTCCATTTTGCATTCCTTAAGAACCCTTGAAAAAAAGCTCACCAGGACCCGGCGATTTATTTTGTTTCAGTCGGTCTATTTGTTTCATAACCATTTCACCAGTGACTGTGATGTTACATAATTTATCTTCTTCAGGCCCACTATTCTATTGATCAAATTTTTTTTATACGGGATAAACGTTCTTTGTGCAGCATGTATAGTGTTTAGAAAGCTGTCATATTGATAGATCTCTTCATTATCCCAGTCAACAGATGATAAGTGTTCTCTAAGCCCATTGTAATCTGCTAAGCGAAAATCTGGGACCATTACTGAGTTGTTCCTACTATCATACTTCTGTTCATTGCTAAAGATAATTGATTTATGGTCGCTTGTGCCGAGTTCCTCTGTAATTTCTAAATTATTAACAAGGGTTTTTTTGTTTTCCAGAACCAAGTCAAGCAGGTTATTCCCCTTTGTAGGTTCTGTCACAAACTGCTTCAAAAAACAATCCTAAACTACTTCTAAAAAGTCAAAAACTTCCAATCAGTCTGACTAAAGTAAAAGTCCCCTAGAATTATTACGTTATCGTGCCTTGTGGCCTTAACAATTTCTTCCCAAAGTAGTTTCCCTTGCTCCTTATCACGCCTAAAATCAATTTCACACACGCCTCTGAAAATTCTATCCAGACAGATTCTGTATGTATTATTTCAGACTTTATACCTGTTTTTATAGCAACAATTTAAACGATATCGGACATAGTGCCACCCCACCCCTCTTACCGATACTTCTATCTACTTGAAACAATTTAAAACTCTGAGTGTGACATTCAGCAGGCAATTAATCTCAATTCGTCCACCTTATTTCTTGCACCACGTGTATTAGTGTAAAATATATTTAGAAAACCTCCCTTCTCTTTTCTCTTCCTGCTGATTTCTGTTCCTCCACTATACCTGTTACTGTCCTTGTCACCTAGTGCCACTGGGTTTCTATATTCACCAATAACTCTACCTGATTCTGCCTATTACTGGTTTCCCTAAAACTCACACTGTCGCTACACTGAGAATTCACTGATTTTCCACAAAAACTCATACCACTATCTATTTCTAGTTTAAAGACCTAAGAGCTCCCTCCACTGCATTGGCCAGTGCTCCCACCCCAAACCTAGATAAGTGAACCCCATCCCTGGCATACATGTCATTTCTACCATAGAAGAGGTCCCAGTTGTCTATGAATGTTACTGAATTTTCCTTAGTGTTTGTCAGACCAACAATTGACACCAACTACCCTGGACAACCATTCACTGCCAACTCCTCTCCTGGTCAAAATCCCACATATCACAGGGTTCCCACCCTTCTTCCTAATTATCTCTATTGCTCTCCTACACCTGCTAATCAGGTCTTCACTCCTACATCTGCCAACATCATTGCCTCCAGCACTGAGGCAGATAATAGGATTGCTCCTATTACCTTTCATGATATCCAGACGGCTAACAATATCCCCCATCCCAGCCCCAGGAAAACATACCCTCTGCCTCCTCTTCCTGTCCCTAAGACAAAAAGCCCTATCCATAAACTTAATCTGACTGTCCCCAACTAAAACAATCTTACCTTCACTGGCGGAGCTTGTTGTGACGTTCTCGATGGTCTTCGTTGGGGTTTCAAGGGATGTCAACTCACTCTCGTCTGCCAATGCTTCCTTGGTGCTCATTGTGACGTTCCCAGTAGACAACTCACATTTGTCAGGTAGCACCGAAGATGGGTTGGAAGTTTCCACAGTAGTCTTCTAGTTCTTCGTTGTTTCTGCTACTCCAACAGTCTTCTTGATTTTTAGCTTCGTTCCATGTTGCTCGACCACTGACCAGGTTCTGCTCTTGAGCTGAGGATTCACAACAGGACTACTACGAGTCCTCTTGTTTTCCTCAGTCAATTGCCGTATCTCGAGCTTGGCCACCATCATGTCCTCTTTAAGCTGCTGAAGTTGCTCAATGGAGGGCATCTTGGTTCAGTCCACAGAGAGTACACTAGACACGTCTTCACTGAGCTAGGTACAGGTCACCACTGTACATAGTAATAATTGAATTTCAGACTTTTAATGATTCACATGAAGTTATTAGATTTAAGAGTAACCCACTAAGTATCACCTGTAACAGCTGAGGCTGAGGACACTGGGCCGGGCAGGAGAGCTGCTGGTGCTGACCTCCAACAATACAGACAACATCCTGGCAGGGTCCTGGGCCAAATATGGTGACACCTCAGCTGATGTTAACCTTATAGGATGCTTTACTGAAAAAGAAATTGAAAAGGCTCTTCTGTTTTGGGCAAAGAGCAAGTGAGTCTTAGAATTTTATACTTTCCAAGTCAATATTGTGCTTTTGTATATTCATAAAAATCCTAAACACTTTTGGCTTATTCAGAACTTGTCATAAAATTATATTACTGAGAGCTAATTTTTTCAGTTAATTACAGCATTTTGTTCAAGTTTTTCTTATTCTTGGAGTTTTTAATGAAAATTTAATTTCACTAAGCATGAGGAGGTCTATGTACTTTTTTAATTTTCAGGCTAGACCTTCCAATTCTGAATGACATCATACTCTCCAAAGTGAGTAAGAGCAGCGACAGAATGTTGACATGCGAGGAGTTGGCTGTGATGAGAAAACTACAAACAATGGAGTACTGTGGCCCTTACTCAATGTTTGGCAGGCTCATGTATCTCTGGAGGGATACATATTCCCCTCAAGAGGTATAACTTTACTCTTCAAATTATTATATTCACGTTACATATAGAAAATAAGCACAAACTCTTTTTCATATTCCCTTCAAAGGGAGTATTTTAATACTGGTAAAGGGCTCTTGATCCAAGGAATTGTAGCTATTCTACTCTTCCTTGGATCAGATTTGATTACCTCCCATTCCCCAGGTGTTGTATATAACTCCTACAGGTTTACTGCATCCCCATATTAACACTAGTACGTTGGAAATAAATGGTATAAAATACCGACACAATGGAAATATAAACACATGTGCAGTATAATGTGATCCTTTATTGACAACGTTTCGCCCACACAGTAGGCTTTTTCAAGTCACAAACAGATCTGTGATGAATGGTTTGAAAAACCGACAAGTTGAAGATTGAGACACTTATGCAGCATATGGGAATCTTTATTCAGGAAACGTTTCGCCACACAGTGGCTTCATCAGTCCAATACAAAGAGGAAGGCGTAAGGAGAGGAGGAGTATGAGGTAATCAGTCCCTCAGCCTGGAGTCGATGTGTTCAGTCCATCAATCTTGTAGAATGTACAGCATAGGGCCGTAGACGTGGCTTATATACTGTAGTGAGGTGAGGTGAAGCAGGCGGAGGCGGGGTCATAGTGGTACCATCCACTAGTCGAAGTAGGTCTTAGTCCAAAGGTTGAACAAGTGTTGACGAATTCTGACTATAAATACTCCCGCAGAGCAGGCAAAGGGTGGAGGTCGTACAAAACCAGGCGATAAGAACTATGCTTGATGCCCCCATCTGGACCAACACAGTATGTCTCAGATCTGAGGCCCGGCTTCCTTCCTTGGCTGACAGAGTAAGATACATAAACGCCTGCAAAGTGGCCACGATTCTGCACCGGCAGCAAGGTACCCCACTAAGGAGACGGATATTAACAACCATGTCACAAGATCCCACACTCTTCACGGACTACTGGATTCGTTCGTTTTGTGCTGCTGGGCGGAAGCTGCTGCCTGTACAGCTGCTCTGTGAGAAGAGTTGTGACCTTCCTGTTGCTGGGTACCATCCACCACCTCCCTGGCGCCCAGATCCAGCCGATGTTTTCGTCATGCAGCTACCCATCTCTAAGTGTCTTTGCAGTCAAGACACCCTCAGCAATCATGCTGAGACAAGCATGGCACTGGCAGAGGGAGGCACATGTGCAGTGTATTTCACAGATGGTTCTGTCGACCCTGACAGGAAGAGAGCAGCAGCTGGACTGTACCACAATGGTCACACACAAGGCTGGCGACTCCCTGACCACTGCACGATCCTTCAAGCTGAGCTGGTGGCGATTCAGCAGGCATTGTCACATGCCCTACGACATCGACTCCGACCTGTCATACATGTTGATTCCACCTCTGCAATCAATGCCCTCTCCCATCCTCAACCACAGGATAATGTTCACCTCATCACATCGATCCTGAGCATAATGACAGCCTTAGAAGTTCAGGGTAATAGATCGACATTGAACTGGATCCCCAGCCATGCTGGCATCCGGGGAAATGAGGCGGCAGATGATGCAGCCAAGGCAGCGACAGACTATCCACATGTTGGGATTACTGTCCCAATCAGCCTACGACAGACCAAACTGGTGGCTGCCAGAGCCACGAAACTTATGGGGGAGGTCTTAGGTGATACCCCATCTCAACAGTGGTACCGAGCAGCGACTCAGGAGAACCCCCTCCATATGATAGAAGCTGGTCCAGAGCGCAGTGTACCGCCATCCATCGGCTTCGTTTGGGCTTTCCCACAGCCAAGATGATGGTAGACAAGGCTGAGGAGATGTGCCAGTACTGTCAGCACGTTGTCCAGCGGCCCCTAACACACTATCTTCTAGAGTGCGAAGCTACTGAGACACTCCGCAGGCAACTAGGGGTGATATTCCCTCCCGAAGAGGACCCAGAGATGACTGCGGCCACACTAGTGTACCATGGGGTCAACGAACCAGACAAGCTGTTACCTGTGATAATGACATATCCTCCTCCTCGCTAGTGTCCATAGTTACATATGGTGTCGCTTATGAGATGCACCAGTTGAACTGGCCAGAGGGGCGCTTGAGAGGCATGCGTCGCATCATTGTGGAAACCTTTCTCCATCGGGAGCCAGAGACGGGTCATCGCAAGATTGGGACTCGTGCCAGGACTATGGTCTTGGCGAACATTATACATACATACACCCCAGGTAGATCTGTTTGTTGTTGAATTAGACACATGTGCAACTCTTGGGTATCTTTAATGAGGAAACGTTTCGCCACACAGTGGCTTCATCAGTCCATACAAAGGAGAAACTTGAAGAACAGGAGGAGAATGAGGTAATCAGTCCCTCAAAATTGAGTCGATGTGGTCAGTCCATCAATCTTGAATAGAATACGGCATATGAGCGGAGAAGCAGCTTATAAATCGTAGACAGGTGAGGGACAGCAGTCGTAGGTGGTGTCACATTTGTCCAATGTGGAAGTAGGTCGTGCCCAAGAAGTTGCAGTGTCTGACAGGATTGTAGATGAATGGTTCAGAGAACCGACATGTTGAATTAGACACATGTGCAACTCTTGGGCATGAACATTAAAATGGTATAAAATACCGACAGGTTGTTAGGTAAGACACATATGCAACAGTTAGGTATCTTTATGAAGATGAAGCCACTGTGTGGCGAAACGTTTCCTCAATAAAGATACCCAAGAGTTGCACATGTGTCTAATTCAACAACATGTTGGTTCTCTGAACCATTCATCTACAGATCTGTTTGTGACTTGAAAAAAAAGCCCACTGTGTGGGCGAAACGTTGTCAATAAAGGATCATATTATACTGCATGTGTGTTTATATTTCCAACACTAGTACGTATTTTATTTTTTATTATTAACACATAGGCCATTTCCCAGCAAGGAAGGGTAACCTGAGAAAGAAGAAACACTTTCATCATTTTTCACTCCATCACTGTCTTGCCAGAGTTGCACTTACACTACAGTTAAAAAACTGCAAAATCAACCCCCTCCTTCAGAGTGAAGGCACTGTACTTCCCACCTCCAGGACTCAAGTCTAGTTTGCCGGTTTCCCTGAATCCCTTCATAAATGTTACTTGGGTCACACTCAAGCAGCACATCAAGTCATAGAAACCATTTGTCTCCACTTGCTCTCTCTCTCTGCTATATATTAATGGGAAAGCTCTGAATATGTAGGAGTTATCAGGTTTCATCCAAGAAAGAGAAGGGTAGCTCAAATTCCTTGGGTCAAGAGCCCCTCGCCAGCATTAAAGCACCTCTATTTCCCACCTGAAGGCAGTAGCAGGAAACAAGATAGGTATCAGGTACATACAGAAATATCTCAATTACTATTTACAGAATTATATTTTGTGAATTTATTTATACTGCTACTTTATTCATCTCTTCGTGTACATACTGTTTTATAATTTTTTTTAATTCCCCTTATCAGTTTCTATTTAGTGATGTTTTAAATAAAATATGTGCTTTATTTAAGTATAATATATAAGCACAGCTACAAGTTTCAGAGGAAAATATCTTTTATTTCTTCACTTTCGTATAATCAAAAATGTGCTACACTAATCCTTTTTTTTTTCTTTTTGCCCTTTTATTAGGTGGGGGAAAAAGTAAAGGCATTCTTCCGATGGTACAACCACCAGCGACTCAAGATGGCATTGACAACACACTACTATGTGATAGGAAATGGCCCTCCAGATATAGATCGTCCTATATTCTATTCTCGCACCTGGTCCTGGCAGTTTACAACTATTGACAGGATGGTAAGATATAGAGGATGTGGAGATGTCCTATCTAAGGGTGTGGTGTAAATATTATGCAGAGAATTCGAAGTGTGGAAATTAGGAGACGGTGTGGAGTTAATAAAAGTCAAAGGGCTGAAGAGGGGTTGTTGAGGTGGTTTTGGTCATTCAGAGAGAATGGATCAAAGTAGAAATGCCGGGAGCAAGGGGCTAGTATCCCCTTCTCCCATATAAATTACTAAATTTAAAAAGAGAAACTTTCGTTTTTCTTTTTGGGCCACCCTGCCTTGGTGGGATACGGCCGGTGTGTTGAAAGAAAGAAAGGATCAAAGTAGAATGACATGGAGAGAGTATAAATCTATAGGGGAAGAAAGGCGGGGTAGGGGTCATCCTCGAAAAGGTTGGAGGGAGGGCGTAATGGATGTTTTGTGGGCGAGGGGCTTGGACTTCCAGCAAGCGTGCATGAGCGTGTTAGATAGGAGTGAATGGAGACAAATGGTTTTTGGGACCTGACGAGCTGTTGGAGTTTGAGCAGGGTAATATTTAGTGAAGGGATTCAGGGAAACCGGTTATTTTTATATAGCCGGACTTAATTTCTGGAAATGGGAGGTACAATGCCTGCACTTTGAAGGAGGGCTTTGTGGTATTGGCAATTTGGAGGGATGTGTAATAGGACGGTGTATATATAACTGGGGCCCTGATATATTCTAATGGGTGTTTTTATATTATTCAGGTCACTTTTTATATTGTATCTTTCTATATGCTTCTAAACTATTGTATCTGGGCACCTCTGCAAAAACAGTAATTATGTATGAGTGAGGTGAAAGTGTTGGATGATGAAAGTATTTTCGTTTTGGGGATTTTCTTTCTTTTTGGGTCACCCTACCTAGGTGGGAGACGGCCGACTTGTAAAAAATTGTATATATGGACTTGGAAGCATACTAGGTAACTCTTGGATGTGGAGATGTCCTATCTAAGGGTGTGGTGTAAATATTATGCAGAGAATTCGAAGTGTGGAAATTAGGAGACGGTGTGGAGTTAATAAAAGTCAAAGGGCTGAAGAGGGGTTGTTGAGGTGGTTTTGGTCATTCAGAGAGAATGGATCAAAGTAGAAATGCCGGGAGCAAGGGGCTAGTATCCCCTTCTCCCATATAAATTACTAAATTTAAAAAGAGAAACTTTCGTTTTTCTTTTTGGGCCACCCTGCCTTGGTGGGATACGGCCGGTGTGTTGAAAGAAAGAAAGGATCAAAGTAGAATGACATGGAGAGAGTATAAATCTATAGGGGAAGAAAGGCGGGGTAGGGGTCATCCTCGAAAAGGTTGGAGGGAGGGCGTAATGGATGTTTTGTGGGCGAGGGGCTTGGACTTCCAGCAAGCGTGCATGAGCGTGTTAGATAGGAGTGAATGGAGACAAATGGTTTTTGGGACCTGACGAGCTGTTGGAGTTTGAGCAGGGTAATATTTAGTGAAGGGATTCAGGGAAACCGGTTATTTTTATATAGCCGGACTTAATTTCTGGAAATGGGAGGTACAATGCCTGCACTTTGAAGGAGGGCTTTGTGGTATTGGCAATTTGGAGGGATGTGTAATAGGACGGTGTATATATAACTGGGGCCCTGATATATTCTAATGGGTGTTTCTTATATTATTCAGGTCACTTTTTATATTGTATCTTTCTATATGCTTCTAAACTATTGTATCTGGGCACCTCTGCAAAAACAGTAATTATGTATGAGTGAGGTGAAAGTGTTGGATGATGAAAGTATTATCGTTTTGGGGATTTTCTTTCTTTTTGGGTCACCCTACCTAGGTGGGAGACGGCCGACTTGTAAAAAAATGTATATATGGACTTGGAAGCATACTAGGTAACTCTTGGCTATACATGACATTACCATAATAAGTGATATTAATAAGTTTGTCATGAGCAAAGAGCAATTGTGATAACTTCCCATATTGTAAAATTCATTATTATTAAGTCTGCCCCTACTTGATTCAGGCATTACCTTCTCTTATAACTACATTTATAAAAAGTCAACAACCATACCTAAGGAACAGGAGACAATCAGATCTGATCAAAGGTAAAGAAGGGTAGTTCCAGTTCTCTGGATCAAGGCATCTACCTTAAAGGAGCGGTGACACTATGCATTGGTATCACCATTCTGTCCGAAATGCTTTGCATAACCAGGAGCTTTCTATAAAGTATGCCAGTAATACAACTTTTTCCAATCCAATTGTAAACCATAACTTCTGGAAATAAAATTTGTCATTTATCATTTTACTGAAAAATGTCTCTTCTCTCCTACCTAATCTATCCTAAGCTTCACTATCCTTGTAAATCCCTACCATATTATCAACTTATCACCAATAACATGCATTTTTTTTTTTAACAAGTCGGCCGTCTCCCACCGAGGCAGGGTGGCCTAAAAAGAAACAAAACCCCCAAAAAAGAAAATACTTTCATCATCATTCAACACTTTCACTTCACTCACACATAATCACTGTTTTGCAGAGGTGCTCAGAACACAACAGTTTAGAAGCATATACGTATAAAGATACACAACATATCCCTCCAAACTGCCAATATCCCAAACCTCTCCTTTAAAGTGCAGGCATTGTATTTCCCGTTTCCAGGACTCAAGTCCGGCTATATAAAAATAACCGGTTTCCCTGAATCTCTTCACAAAATATTACCCTGCTCATACTCCAACAGTTCGTCAGGTCCCAAATACCATTCATCTCCATTCACTCCTAAATAACACGCTCACACACATTTGCCGGAAGTCCAACCCTCCAACTTTTTTGAGAACGACCCCTACTCCGCCTTCCATTCCCTACAGTTTTATACACTCTCCATGTCATTCTACTTTGATCCATTCTCTCTAAATGACCAAACCACCTCAGCAACCCCTCTTCAGCCCTCTGACATACTTTTATTAACTCCACATCTTCTAATTTCCACACTCCGAATTTTCTGCATCATATTTACACCACACATTGCCCTTTGACAGGACATCAATCACCACTGCCTCCAACCGTCTCCTCACTGCTGCATTTACAACCCAAGCTTCACACCCATATAAGTGTGTTGGTACCACTATACTTTCATATATTCCCTTCTTTGCCTCTATAGATAAAATTTTTTGCCTCCACACATACCTCAATGCACCACTCACCTTTTTTCCTTCATCAATTCTATGATTAACCTCATCCTTCATAAATCCATCCACTGACACGTCAGCTCCCAAATACGTATCTGAAAACATTCACTTCTTCCATACTCCTCTCTAATTTGATATCTAAATCATTTGATACCCTCATCACCTTACTCTTTTCTATGTTCACTTTCAACTTTCTACCTTTACACACACTCCCAGACTCTTCTACACACCAGTTTTAGAGTGAATGAAGATAATAATAATATAATAATAATAATAATAATAATAATAATAATAATAATAATAATAATAATAATAATAATATTATTATTATTATTATTATTATTAATTATTATTATTATTAATTATTATTTATTATAAAAAACACTAAACCCACAAGGGTCGTGAATTGCTATACATAGAGTAAAGGCATACGAAAAGAATATTTTTCTACAGTTGCCCCCCGTGTTTCACTAGAGAAAACGTAATTCTCCCAACACTACCTACACAGCTGCTTTGTAAACAAATCTCATATTTACATCAATTTTTATTCTGAGCGTATGTATCATATTTATATGCTATGTAATGGGTTTCATATATAATTTTGAGGAAAATATCATAGATGGATTAATGAAAATGCCTATATTGATGTAAAATAAGACATTTAGTGTGCCCAAGAGTGATTATTATTTCGTAGTATTGGCGTCATGAGTAGAGAGAGACTGAGCGATTTTAATGTGTACCTGCACACCAGCACAGTGTGTAAGTATATTTAAGTACAGGTACACATAAGTATAATTATCAGAATACATATAAAATATGCAGTAACTCTAAAACAATTTAAATTTTGGAAAGTTTCCTGACATAATAGATGTGGTCACAGAAAATGTAAACAAACCGGGTGGGGAGCGCCGTATTTAAAAGACCTCTTGCAGTATAGCAAATTTTGGTCATAATTTGACATCGCCATATTAGCGGAACGCCGAAAAGCGGGGCCTTACTGTGTGTGTGTGTTGTGTGTGTGTGTGTGTGGTGTGTGTGTGTGTGTGTGTGTGTGTGTGTGTGTGTGTGTGTGTGTGTGTGTATATATATATATAATATATATATATATATATATATATATAATATATATTATATATATATATATATATATATATAATATTATATATAGTTAATATATTATATATAATATATACATATATATATATAAATATATATTATATATAGTGTATATATATATATTTATATACACATCATATATTATATAGTGTATATATAATATATATATATATATTATATATAGTGTATATAATATACTATATATATATTATATATATATAATATATATATATAATAATATTTATATATATATATATATATAATATATATATATACACTATATATATATATACACTATATATATATATATATATATAGTGTGTATATATATTATATATATATAATATATATATATATAGTGTGTATAATATATATATAATATATATATATATATTCTTTCTTTCAACACACCGGCCGTATCCCACCGAGGCGGGGTGGCCCAAAAGGAAAAACGAAAGTTTCTCCTTTTACATTTAGTAATATATACAGGAGAAGAGGTTACCAGCCCTTGCTCCCGGCATTTTAGTCGCCTCTTACAACACGCATGGCTTACGGAGGAAGAATTCTGTTCCACTTCCCCATGGAGATAAGAGGAAATAAACAAGAATAAGAACTAGAAAGAAAATAGAAGAAAACCCAGAGGGGTGTGTATATATGTGCTTGTACATGTATGTGTAGTGTGACCTAAGTGTAAGTAGAAGTAGCAAGACGTACCTGAAATCTTGCATGTTCATGAGACAGAAAA